TTTACCACACTCGCAAAATCGCACACAGCCAACCATACACGCAGTATGGTATCGCGATTCGCGATTTTGCGCTATCATACTGGGTGTATGGTCGGCTGTGTGCGATTTTGCGAGTGTGGTAAAATCGCATAACAGCAAAATCGCATAACAGCCGAGCATACACCCAGCAGCGCTGCTGATGCCTGAACGGTATGTGGAATGAAGTGGGCGGGCATCGGGAGGCCACTATGGCACGGGGCAAGCACTATGGGCAGTCTATCTGAAGTGTACCGGGCGTATAAGACGACCCCCCACTTGGAGGCATATTTTTCAGGGCCAAAAAATTGTCTTATATGCCGGCAAATACGGTAGATATCATCTATTGATATCTAACCAGAGAAGGGACCCTTGAGACAAGTAAAGATAACTTGACATGTTTTTAAAAAATTAAAATTTGAGTCTTATTTATTGTTGCATTGCTTTTCCACTTTTGTCTTATTTTTATCTAATATATCTACCACAGATTTTTTCCCATGCTAAATTTAGTTTCATTATTTTCCTTGAGATTTTTTTCTTAAGAATATTCCATAATAAAAGGAAAACATCTTTTAATTTTGCATTATAGGAATCTGTAGTTGCATTTTATAAATGAATGCTCTTTATTACACTGGGTTATGATCATTGTTATTACTGACATTTTGTATTTATTTTTTAGCAATACATAACCCTTTTAGAAAATAGCTATATCTAGAATACACATTTTATCATTTTCATGAGCATCTTGTTTTAATACATTTATCGTGTATCAGAAACTATTTTAATTTCTGTGCAGTAATTAAATCATTATGATAATCCTATACATTTGGTACTATTATAAGCTGTTTTGATGCATGAGAAAACGGAACTGCGGAGTACTTAAATGTCTTTCCCAGTGTAGGTGGTAAGTGGTGGAACTGAATTGTTTTCTGTTTTTTGACATAGTAACTGTGATGAACTTTGGATAAAGTATAATTATGAGGGCACAGTAATTAAGTAAATGTTGTCCAGTTCCTTTGTAGTAAAGTTATCCTAGTTGCATATGCTTTAGCAGCATAGGCCATTATCTGCTCCCCTACCCTCATGATCATATACTAGCACTTTAAAGAATTTGGCTACTTTGATGAGTGAAATGTGGTATCTTTATTCTATTAGCAATATTTTAATCTGTACCAGGAGATAGATTTCAAAACAAAAGCACACTGACACATGCATTCAAAAAAATGGAGTCAGAGTATTTGCAGGCTATAAAAATAAAAGAAAGCTGTGGTCCTAAGAAGCTTATAAGAACTGTCCTTAGGGCCAAAGAGAGGGTGTCCTGTGTGCCTCAGGGCCATCCTTTGTGGCACTGCCTCCCACAGAATTCCGTGCTGAAGCCAAGATGGCTTTGAAGGTCCAAGGGAGCTTGAATTACAAAGTCCCTTTATCTCCTGGTCCTTTCTTTACCACCCAGCCACAAACCGTCAGGCTCCTCTCCCATAATTCCCACCCCGCTCTCCAGCCATCCTGAACTGGTGGCAATTCCTAAACACTGCATCTTACTCTGTGCCTTTTTGCCATTCCATTGCTCTTCTGGGAATTTGTGCTCTAGTACATCTTCAGAAGTAAATTCAATAATTCCCTTTGTTTTGACAGCGGTTCTCAACCTGTGGGTTGCGACCCCTTTGTACATCCTGCATATCAGATATTTACATTATGATTCATAACAGTAGCAAAATTACAGTTATGAAGTATCAATGAAAATAATTTTATGATTGGGGGCCACCACAACATGAGGAACTGTATTGAAGGGTCGCAGCATTAGGAAGGTTGAGAACCACTGGTTTAGCAATTCATGTGGAATCTAATAAAAGACAAACATGCAAGTTGACCGTGCCTTTGCTATGCCTTAAGCCACGCCCACCAGCCAATTAGAGCGACTATATGCAAATTAACTCATCCAAAATGACGGCCGGAAGCCATGGAGCTGGTGCAAGCAGGAGGCTTGGTTGCTCCAGTGATGGAGGAAGCCAAGCTTCCCGCCTGCCGCGGCCAACTCTGAGCTCCACTGAAGGCAACGAAGTTTCAATTATATAAGGTAAATAAATCCCAGAATAAAAGAAACAAGGAGAAGCTGGGAGCTTCTGTCGCCAGGGGGCTTGGCCAGCCTGAAAACAGCCCTCAGCCCCTCACCTAGGCTGGCCAGGCACCCCAGTGGGGACCCCCACCCTGAAGGGGGGGTCGCC